CCATCAGGCAGTGCTCCTTACCTCCGTGTTGGCCTCTTAAGCGTCTACGGTGTATGTGCGTGGGGGACGGGTGGCGTGAGGGAGGGGTGGCGTGAGGGAGGGGTGGCGTGGGGGAAGGGTGGCGGGGGGGAGGGGTGGTGTGGGAGTTTCGTATTGGCTATAGGGATAGGAGACTTATAATTGGACATGAGTTTTTTGTCTTAAGCAATGAACAATGCGTGGGTGCATTGGGTGCGGAGATTTGATTTTTCAGTTCCAGAATAACCAGATATGGCTGAACAGGTGGAAAGAGCCGTGCCGACATTATGATAGATTAATTTTACGTCAATTATAAAGTTTCATCAGAAAAATAGTGTTAGGTTAGGTTTTTTTTTGTGACACTCCAAAAAAATAAATTTTCGTCAAAATTGATGGGTATGGAGAGGGGATCTCAAAAACTATTGATTTCCGGCTGAAATGAATATCAAATTCGTTCGAAACTTATTAATAACCGGAAATTTGTTTTAATATCCAAACAAAGACCGGTGCATTAGTGAAAATTGACCGATACTACTATTGCAACGTTGCCACAGGGTGTATCGTAACATCCCGCAACTGTATCCTCCACCTATAAACCCAAGGTCTCCCTCACACCCTCCAGTCCAGTGGTGTCGAACTCAAAACCTTTTGAGGGCCAATTCTCATTTTAGTTACCCTCTTCAGGGCCAACAGAAGTGCTATATCACATATTTACAATAGCATTAACAATATAAATTCAATTATTGCCACAATGATGTAAAGATCATTTTGGAATTTACCGACTCATTCATATCTATTTCTACCATAATTTCACGGGCTGATAAATTTTACCGTCATCCCGCGGGCCACACCTGACTATCCCAAGGGCCATGAGTTTGATACCCCTGCTCTACACCCATAAACCGAACGTCTCTCTAACATCCTCCACCACTCATGCATCCAGCGTCTCCCGCACACCTTCCACTATCTCCATACACATCTTTCCCACCACCCACGCTCAACAAACAAGCAGAGGGAACAACCTTTCACCATATTCCGTGATGACCAGAAAACACTACTCCGCAAAGTAAAATGTACTGCCTTGAAGGACACACGCTTGATACTATGCGTTTCATATTGTCACCGTTGAAAAAACACTCCAAATTACATATCCCTTAAAGTCTATATGTTCATGACTAGTGTATGCACTAATTCACAATACTCACGTAAAAAAAATCGTTAAGTGCATAGCTAATATATACCGGGTATATTTCTTTAAATTGCTTCTCTTAGAAACGAGGACTAAACATCGATGCTAAATAACCCTTGCAGTTGAAGTACCCCAATGCAATAAAATTTATAAACAATTCCAATGGAAACAGAAAAAAGAGTATTATCCAGCTGTCAAAAAAAAAATCTTGGCGTGTCGAGACCTCACATCACTAAATTAACTAGTCTTTCCGGAAAACATCGCTGATTAAGGTTGCAGGTAATACGTCTCGGGGCAAGAGAGTGCTTAGCTCGTGGTATTGATCTAAGGGTGAATCCTTCCTTAATTAACTTGGGTACGGCGGTTCATCTGTGTCCTGAGTTTTTCCTGTTTTCATGTCTCCCTTAAAAGAGGGAGACTTGTTGTTTTCCTCATTTCTTCTTTCATATTGCAATCAATTCTGGACCAATGGCTTTGAAAGCTGGCAGGCTTGTTGCATGGTGCAATACTTCCAAACACATCGTATTTGTTTAAATTTGGGCCTTTATATGGATTTCATGGATCAAATAACCCCAAACTAAATATTTTGAGCTGTTGGCCAGTCTTTAGGCGCCTTTAGATGAAATTTAACACAAACTTTAATATTGGCCTCACACAATGATACTATATTATAATGGTCAAGGGTAAAAAGTAATAGAGGGAAATCGAGTTGGATTCGCTGTTAATTTCGGGTTATTTTTATAATTACAAATAAAAAAAATTAGTCTATGCTAGCCATTTTATAAAAATCAGAATATTTAATTGGCTTTTAATTTATTGACAAGATGAGCAAAGTTAATATGAAAACCCAGAAGTCAATGGTAAACGACATTCCTTGTTATTGACATGTCAAGGTAACCTGCCAGGTGTTGACTCACTCCGTCAAGAAATATCAACACGGCAATATAATTTTGTTTAAAACACCCCCATTAGTGTCACGTTTATTATCATAAAACATAAAAAAGGCCGGGATCATATGAAGATCTTCCCCCCCAAAGTATCCAACTGAAGATCCTCCCCCCCAGGCTAGATCATATGAAGATCCTCCCCCCAAGTAGGTTTGGGGGGAGGTTAGGTTAGGTTTGGTTAGGTTAGGTTTGGTTTGGTTTGGTTAGGTTAGGTTTGGTTAGGTTTGGTTTGGTTAGGTCTGGTTAGGTTTGGTTAGGTTAGGGGGGGGTGGATCTTCAGATGAGCGCGACTGGGCTTGATCATATGAAGATCCTCCCCCCAGGCTAGATCATATGAAGATCCTCCCCCCCAAGTAGGTTTGGGGGGGGAGGATCTTCATATGATCCAAAGGCCGAAGCGGTTAATATATATAAAGCGCATAATAATTTAAAACCAATAAAAATGACGATACCTACTGTACGTACAAAACGAAAATCAGAAAAAAAAATATACAGGGGAGGTATTACCTTAATTTAGACGAGCCTTGGTGTGAAAAACACAACAAATCACAGGAAGCCATATCACAAATGCAAGGCTTCAATAATGAGGAGGTTCGTCTCACAGTTGCTCCTGCCACAAACTGAGGAACACACGGCGAAAACGGGTTGTCATGCTGGTGGGCGTGGTTACGGATAGCCGAAGAGGTGGTTGTGTGATAACTGGCTTGTTCAGACGGAACTTTCGGCCCAAGTGCTCATGGATGCGAGTTATCAAATGTCTTTTTGTTTTACCTATATATGCTGCCCTACAGCTAGCACACATAAATTGATAAACAACTGAGGATTGCAGGTGTGTGGGTTTTGAAGACAAGTCTAAGAGAAATTTGGTTAGAATTCAATGACAAGCTTCTTAAGTTTGTTTCTAAGGGTGAAACTGAGTGGGCCTATGTACGGAATGGTGAAATAGATAGAATATTTGGGAACGGTGTGGACTTGAGGCTGTGGGACTAAAAATCCTATTAAGGGTTTGCCTATATAAATGTCTGTAAATATTTTAGGGAAACCACTGTTAAGAGTAGTTCCTTTATGTATTTTAGGGCCAATTGCAAGATCAGCCGTGGTGTAATATAATGGAGGAAAAAATTTGTGATTTTTCAAGATGGGCCATGGTGGTACCCGGGTCCCCAGCGTTTGTCTAATACTAGGTCATCGTACTGTAGTCAGGTGTACCAACTGGCGGAAGACTTGGGGGTTGGTATGCTTGCACCCTCAAAGGTTGTTAGTGGCACCAAATGTTTACTCTTGCTACACGATTTCCGAGCATGAAAAACTTGAATCCCAAGTTAAGGTGCACCTCATTTTCCTATTTTCTTTGATTATAAGCCAATTATAGTTTGGGGTAATTCACACAACGGTCCGAAGTAAAAAATAAAATAAATTCTTGTGGAAGCCCTGCCATAGATTCTCAGTAGTTTAGTTATTCAAAACACTACACCCGCTAACTATGGAAACTTATTGAAGGAATGTGGGATTATTATTATTCTAAATAGGTATAATTTTTAAATTTAGAAACTTAGTGCTCATTGAGGGTCATATTTTATGAAGTTTCCGTTTTGTAAATAATCAGTCATACCTTTCATACGTTTTCATCGTCTAAACGGACGGAGTGACGACGTAGTGGCAATAAATCTGTTCATTTTACCCTAACTGTAATAATAAATCTACGTATTGTAGCCAAATTTGCTGTCTGAAATGTAATTTTGAATATTTTCTCGAGTGCTTGATTTTTTTTTAGTGAACTCGATTTGTCATTTTATCTGACCATTTTCACAGCAACTGTAACGGTTGCTCTTATGCCAGAAGTTTTACCTTCGCCTTCACTAAACGCAATGGTGGCGCGTCGAGGCCAATAAACACTTTTAAATGGCAGAACAACTCATGTCATTTTCGTATTTAGACTTTCAACTAATATCAATGAATCATTACCTGCACATGCCAGGATACTCCGGGCTACCAATGTTAAAATATTTTAGGCAACTCATCCTAAAGGTTCAAAGGATCAAGCCCCAATTGTAATTACTGTACATATCTGCACCATATCTGGCAAACAATTTTCATTGTCAATATAATCTTTACTCAAATGACACATTCGTTACTTGTACTGTAGATCACTAAAGTACAGTACTGTAAATATTTTCTTAAAATCATTACTTTGTGGAGGAAATTGACCTACGTACTGTATTGGGAGATGATCATGCTATACAGTATATGCACAGAGCTCAAGATTTGTTTTCACAATCACCTGCGATTTTTCTTTCATACTAAAACCCTGTTAATTACCTGTTACATACACCCTTAAGCCACAACCGTAGCACATCTTTCAGTAAGGTGTCTTTCTTTGGAAATCACTGACAAGCATAAAAAAAAATGTACATACATTGCAGTACATTATAGCTTTGGCATATTAAGTTGACACCAAATTTCCATGTACACAAATATAGATTAAAGGATAATTATTCTGTATCCTGTAATTTTTCAGATTATAAGATAAGTGAGCTCATTTTGTTTTCTACTTAACAGTATTCTTGTCCTGGGGGTAAGAGGTGAAGTAATCCACATATGGGCAAAAAGTATTTCAGACAGGCTTCGTCCTCACTAACAATGGGGTTTGTTGTTCGACTCGTCCTTATACACTGATTAACTTCTTCTTTTGTAAAGTCATTTGTAATGGGTTTTTAAATGGCATATTTCAACACTGTACCATCCCAATAATTACCTATAATTCATCATCATCACTGAATTGTTACAATGTACAGGTGTATCATTAAAAACTATCAGAATAAAATTTGGTAAGAGAAACCCCTAAAAACTGTGTCCTTTTTTGTCTTTATTGGACAATTGGAAATTTGTGGTAAATTGACACATCCTTAAATAGAAGACTTGCTCCACTGGGGCAGTACATTATGGCTCCAGTCAGTCCATCACACCAGGCGGGGGCAACCAATGAGTGTGTTCAATAATTGGCTTTATTATTATTTATCAGTACAAGAAAATATACAATAAGGTAATCATATAAACCTTAGGCTTATGTCTAGCTACAATAAGATACAAATCACCGTTATAATCTAATTTGGAATATGATGAGAGAAGGGAGAAAAGATATAATGTTATTTAGTGACTTCTATTGCACTGCTTGTTTGTTTTGACATTTGGAATAGGGTTGATTTTACTTTTTTATAATATATATATATATATGACGGAAGCACATTGTAATTGGAATAGACCAAAAACATATATACGTAGTAGGAACGTTATTTTTCATTGAAATAAGTGACATAGAAAAGATGCCATCTATCTGTCTGTAATTTAATACATTCAAGTTGGGGTCTCTATGTTCTTTGTACTTGAAAGCATCCTGTTTAATAGTCAAATGTGTATCACTTATAAAGACAAGGGAGGATGAACTATTAAGGTTTTCCATAGTGTTCCAAGTTCAAAGTGAAGGAACTGGATAAACACAGACACACAAACACACAATATGGAGAGTGACGTAGGAAACACTGAGAAAAAGGGGGTTGGAAGGCAAGGAATCCAGATGGCGATTCTGTCCACTAGCTTAAATAATTATTCTTATTGGCTCTTTATATTATATATAGGACTTATTTATTCTTTCTGTAAATGCAAATGGTTAACCTTCACATCCAAAATATTTAATATTAATTTGTTCACAATATATACAAATACATACAGTGCAGTAGACATTTCTTTAAAAATGAACTTCTTTCGACTGATTTATAAAATTCCTTATAACACTAACAGCCAGGACAGAATCGCAATCTGGCACCAAAGAGAGGGTCTAGGCCCGTGCTCAGTTTTCAGTTTTTCAAAATTGACTTTTTTTCTCTCCATGTGAAAGCACAGATTTGTGAGCATTTGTAGCGAAATCGTAAAAACTGCACAAGCCTATACACCACAGTAGAGTCAAAGATCGGACATTAATAGGAAAAAATCTAGGTCTAGATTAGGCTACTACGGAATAATAAAATGGAATACCATATTTTGGAGGGAAATGTTGAGAGCAAATGGGACAAAAAATAAATTTCTCCGCGCAGTCATGGACATTTAAGGGATCTTTCTTTATATCACACATTGAAAGTCACTTCTAGCAGCTACGTTGGAATGCTTATTGAGAATGCAAACATCTTCCGTTTAACCATCTACAGAACTTTAAACGCATTCTTTGCGCCCGGTATATATATATATATATATATATACAGCGAGATTCCACAGAGATGAAAAGGCACGACACCGTTCAAACATGATGGCCCTGTTGTCATGCTGTCCGTTGCAGTCACAGCGCCATTTCCAATTAAAATGTACTTACTTCCTAAAAAATGGTTATGGATGAACAAACAGCAAAGGGGAATGTACCGAATTCAAACCTCCTTGCTATTGGTGCTCACTTAGCCAATCAAATTCCAGAGTTCCCCGAAGAGTACAGAGACCAAAGTGAAGCCACCAATCAGGAGACGAGAGAGAACGGGATCGGGCGAGATAGAGGAATGCTATTGGCCGGGAGAGGGTCACGTGACAATAGGATGGTGGTAGTTGAGGTTGGACACCGCAAGAAAGCCCCTGACTTGTGTGAAAGACGGCAATCTGAGGCCTCCTGTGTGGAGCCCTCCCGCGGCGCCCTTTTGTAGGAATCTACAGGAAGTGAGGAGGTGAAAGACTTTGACTGGGAGCCTTAGTGGTCGACGCTGCCAGTTAGTCACCTGTCATGGACGTTACTCTGTGTATAGCCTTGGGCCCGGCTCAGGGTGATATGGAAGCACTCTGGTACACTATTGTGGTGAAGTACGGTCTCTATACAAAATAAATTTGCATATGTATACTTGATAAAAATAAAATTCTAAATGTTATCCACATTCCTAACAAGATCCTATTAGAAATCTCCAGTAGTCATTTTGGCACAATCGTTGCTTACAACCAAGTTAAACTGGCATTTCGTTTGGCAATATAGAAAGTAGCATGAAATTAGCTCTTGAAAGCTCATAAAGATGCAAGGTAATCAGGTGCCAAGTATAAGATAACAGAAAACTAACTAGACTAGCAATATGACTAACAATGCAGGTGACAGACATGTTAAAAGATCATGCTGCCAGTTCTTGAATAACAGAAGCAAAGAGGTACAATAGAATTTTCAGAAAAGTTCCAAAAATGATAGAACTACATGGCATGCCTTGGAAATCTAGAAAATAGAAAGATTGCACATGTTGAGATTATTTTGGACTAACAGTATGACATGACCAGCCACAATGGACCTCTGTAAAAAGTTTACTGTATTTGTCTTTCAGTCAAGCATTAATTTGACATCAATTTATCAAGGGCCAGGGTAGCTGGTGGTGTCACTAATAAGGATGCTGGCACGAGGCACGAGGGATCCACTAGTACTAGACGCTGGGAATCGTGTATGGTTCCTAGTACGCTTATGGAAGACAGTGGATTTATCAGCGGAATACCTGCTCGTCTTCTTACTTCACCGCAGTGTTGCCCACTACTCTTCACAAAGATAATTACTTTCCTTTTCTGGAGTGCATTAACAAGTAGCATCATTAACTGCAAATCTCCAGGCTACAAAAAGAAAGTGAAACATAAAAAATACTTGATTAATAATATATTCCTTCTACTCACAATATTTAATAACACAAATACACATTTCTCTCAAATATAAATATATTCTTTCTTGGCAACACTGCTTCTCTATGCGGCACTACACTTGAGTATTGGACAGGTACTGGCTGGAGGTGTAAGGGCCTAACCCGCCTTGGTTCAACGCCTAACTATCATAACTACAGAACTATGAGAATGATAGAGAGAGAGAAAGATGAGGGACCGAGAAGTGGCTGTCCCATTCCCACGTTCCAGCCTTAAGGACCCCCTTAAAAAGTTTTCGTAAGTGAAGATAAAAGTGATTGGCACATGCGAATTCACATTAATCCTATTCAAAAGTAAATACTGTATAATTATAATCCTTTTTAAATAACAAAGAAACACTGCATAGTATGTCCAGGTAAATCAGCAATGTAAGTAGCACATCACTCGACATATTGCACACCAAGCATGCAGGCTCCTTTTCTTACAATATGTCAAGTATCAGAAACATCAAATTCTTTAGTCTTCATCACTTATTTTGATCATAAGACATGCCATTGCAAGTCACTATTTTGATTTATATGGTAATAGGAAATTCTCTTAATATTTGTTCGTTGTCACACATTCTTTGCATCACAATATTCAATTTCTTATTACATGAAATTTTCACACATTTACGCCACAACTTCTTCTTTTACAGTGATGGGTGTGGTCTCAAGGGCCTCTGAGGGCGTGGCTGGCGAGGTGCTTACAGACGACTCTTCTACTGAGGAAACGAGGGATGGGATGACTGGTGCTGTAGGGAGTGAATCAGCTGTGGCAGTAACAATGACTGACACACCTTCCCCTGCACTACTAACAATGCCAACGCCACTATCTGATGGAGAGGGGACGGGAGTAGAGGACTCTGAGTGTGGAGTAGCGCCATCAGGGTGGTAGGGCTTGCAGTATGAATAACGGTGGTTCATGTGCTGGGAGTAGGAGCCTGAGTGAGAGAACCTCTTGAGACACTTGTGGCACTGGTAAGGCTTCTCCCCAGTATGTAGTCGGCTGTGCTCTGTTAGATGGTGCTTGTGCTTGAATGCTTTGGGGCAGAGATCACACTTGAATGGGCGTTGGCCTGTGGAAATATTTCACTACTATCATATATATACAATATGTATATTTCATTTTGTTTTCTTCTAAATTAAGATCATTTGTATATACAATATAAAGAAACACTTAATTTTTTTTTCCAAGCTCATAAATTTATGAGTAATAAAACTAAGTAATAATGTGAGATGGACAATAATAATTCAGTAAAACGTGAGCAGAAATTGACATTCACCTCACCTGAGTGCTCATACTTATGGCGGGCAAGGGACGATTGCTTGTTGAAGGACTTGTCACACTGGTCACACTGAAAAACACCTCCCTCCTCCTCACGGCGTCTCTTGCGACTTTCATCACCACTGTCATCATCCTGTGAATGAATATAGAACATAATGAGAATCATTTGCCTCAAAGTGTATACTGAACAGTATATATTTTGTTTTCAATATTCACCATATACAGTACTCCAGGGGGTATTTCCTCTAACTGGAGAGAAACAAGTAAACTACATACATTTCCTAGTTAAACAAATACAGTACAGGTACAGTAGTGTTTTATGATAATGAGCAGAAACATATTTTGAAATGGTCAAACATTTGCAGGGAAAGGTATATATTCATCCAAATATATAACAACAAAGCTCACTTACCCTTGGTCGCTTGTCACTGGGATCTATATGGTCAGTGTACAGAGATGGTAGGCCAAGCTTCGCTCCATGGAGAATCTGTGCCAATTTGCACTGTTCAGAGATCACAGAGGGCAACCCAGCCACAGTCAGCCCACTGGGCTCTTTAGGTTCAGATATATTATTGTTGAGAGAGTTGGGTGTGGGTGTGCGAGATTCAGATTTGTAAGAGATCGCCAATGAGGTGGAATCTGCATCTGAATCAGAATAAACTGAGGCAGGCTTTGGCGATGCTGATGGGGACGATTTTTTGGTGGAGAGATCAAGAGGTTGGTCATCATCATTGCCATCAGCTCCATCAGCAGGTGTTGGAGAGGCACGACCATTCTGAAGTGGGTAGACTAGACCTGGTCCCGCCAGCAGGGACGGGTAATAGGAGCTAATGCTTAAGGCCTTGGAATTAGCCTGAGAGGTGGGCGGAGCATAGCTGGTAGGAGCATAGCTTGAAGGTGTATAGCTGGAAGTAGTGTGGCTAGGATTGCTGTAGCTCGAGGTGTAACTGGCCTGAGAGTATGTTGATGGAGTAGGGGTAATAGATCGACCCTCACGTCGGTCACGGGCTCGAGCATTCTGGAACCAAACTTGCACCACTCGGACAGAGAACCCAATCTTCTCAGCAATATTTAGCAATTCTTCTTTCTTGGGTCTAGGGTTCATGGCGTAGTGAGCACGTAGGACAACAAGCTGCTCCTCACGGATGTGAGAACGTACACGAACCTTTTTTCCATCACTGGTGGTTTCTTCATCATCTACAATATGGCCGGAATCAGCATCTCTCTCGTCATCCCTGCTGAAAAAAACTCGATTGGACAAATAATGGGACTGAGGCAAGTGCTGGTGTTGCTGCCGCAGTTGATGCTGTGGCTTCTGGTTTCCTGCCAACTCGTGAAGCCTTGCTGCCAGACCCTCAATTAAATGTCCCTTATAGCGTTCAGAGGCAGACGTAACCTCAGGAAGATGTGGACATTGTCGAGAAGCATGTAAGTAGGCTTCACTAGGGTTTCTGGAGATGCTGCCACAGAGCCTACAAGAGAGGTCATCAGCAATGGCTGCAGAGTTCAGTACAGAGCCCTGGGAGGCAGATGATACTGTTTCCTCAAACTGGTGTTTTGTGACACTTGTGTTTACACTCTCTAACATTTTCTTCAATGTAGACATACCTTCCCTGTCATTGTTATTTGGAGTTTCTTCCATCTCTTCTTGATAACTTTCTTCCTGCTGCTGTTCTTCTCTCTCCTCTTCATCCTCTCTTGTCTCTTCCTTGATGACAAGTTCACCTGGCTCTCTATCATCATCATCAACATCCTCCTGTGGGGCATCTTCACTGTTATCCTTCTCCTCATTGCCATCTTGGTGAGCTTTGTTAAGTGCCTGGGACATTGTGAGAGACAGCAAGGATGAATACTGTGGGTGGAGCTGAGCAGCCAAGATGAGGGAGTTGAGGGGATGATAGGGTGATAGACCCTGATGGAGATTGCTCTGAAGCCCTTGAGGTAAGCCCTGGGGGAATCCCTGTGGTAGTCCAGCAGTCAGACCAGAACTGCTGAGGCCACTTGGAGACACGAGTGAAGGTGGAGACATGAGAAGGGAATCCCTGGAGATGGGCCGTGTGGGTGAGGAATAGCCGAGATCAGCAGAAGGAGTTGGAGACTTGTCCTTGGGAAGAATAGGTAAATAGGACCCATTAAGAATTGGCCGTTTGGTATGAGGTCCTGGAAACTGTGGGGATGTACGCGGCATTAATCCATTGGTCCTACCGCGTCCAAGCTGAAATAGGGAAAAAATATCAGCTAATTTTTTTGTTAAAGTTAAATAATATTATTATACATAATCCATGTAATACTATACTGTATATGCTATGTGGGAAAACCTGTTGCATTCCAGTTCTATGATACATTTAACTATGAGAATACAATACCTATAATTCTGAAAGTTCATCTTTTACTGTAATACAGTACAACTGAATTATATATGTCTGAAACAACTATTTTTAATTTTAAAAGTTATTACTCTTGTTACTCAAGATAACTTTAATTATCAATACTTCTAAAATTATTACTAGATAGAGGTTTGTCTGCTACACAGGAGAGTGGGTCAGGTAGAGTTACTCTTAAATGTTCGTGCAGATTTTGAAGTGAAACAATCCTCTCAGACAAGCAAATGATTTTTTCCCTCTACATGCTTAGTACAACTTGTAACTACCTTTGTTTTCTTAACCACAACCAACAAAATTCCAAATTTCATTCTTCATTCACCTTATCAATTAATGACACTATTAACAGAAATACATTGTCTTGAATAAAGACGAAAGCTTTCATCTTTATTCAAGACACTGTATTTTGTTTCAATGAACATCCATCAACTACTAATAGTGTCATTAATTGATAAGGTGAAAGAATGAAATTTGGAGTTTTGTTAGTTGTGGTTAAGAAAACAAAGCAAACTAAAGTAATGTGTGAGTGACCGACCCATCTGTTAAACTAAATCTTAATGTCTGATTTGACCCCTACAATGACAAAGTCTTCTCTTATATTTTTCTGTGGTAGATAGCAGCATATTCTGCTGTGATTTCTCAAAATTTATTGAGACAATTTAAGACTTTTATACAATGTTAAGTATTCTATTATGGTCTGACTAGTGACCTCTAAGTGCCTTGCTTATACAACACACAAAAACATAAATAAAATCAATATACAGTTCTGTACTGTAAATGGCCACATAACAATTCTAAAAAACCTTCTATACTTGTTGCCTAATTTTTTGCGACACAGTATTGTACTTTACACTCAGATCTTTCATTATTCTAATCAATGCTGTTTATTCACTATCCGTTTTTATACAGTATATCTTATTGAATGAAATGGATGCATGAAAAGTAAGATTTACTGTAGTTTGGAAACATGCACTGAAATGTCATTTGTTCATCAAAGGTCAATTAAAAAACAAAGAAAACTTTCCATATAATATATTAACCCTGGGAATGGCGAGAAGTTTTGTTCATTGCATCCTATTACTGTACAGTACCCGTACTCATAATAAGTAAACAAATAATGCAATAACTACCTACTCATATCAGTACACTTCACTAGCACTTTTATGTAATTCCTCTTCCCAAAATATATATTTTGAACCAAATTACCTCATCCCCATTCACAATATTTTCTGCTTTCCTTTTAAGGTTGACTCAATACTACAGTACCACAAATTTAGTTAAAATTTTTAACCAAATAATTCTAATAATAATAACAGGAGCAGTAGCCTTGTTTTCTTTGTTTGTCATTCATATCAGCAATAAATAACATACAGTTCTGTACATTAAAAACTGATTTATCTCACAAGAAGACTTAAAACATTTCATAGGAAAGGCCACACTCCAAAATAGGTCAAATATTAGAGCCATTGAAACATTTCCCATTAACATAATAATTAAGGGTGGGTGTTTGGGTGAGCACTTAATAAATTGGCTGTTGTCACTCACCTGGCACTTTTTGGAGGACATATGTGAGGAGTAGGAGCCTGAGTGGGAGAACCGCTTCCCGCAGTGCTCACACTCGAAGGGCTTCTCACCACTGTGAATCCTCTTGTGTTCCTGAAAAAAAAAAGATGCAAATATAAATAAATTACATTGACTTTAAATTTGTGTAAAGTACTTCGACTAGTATTACTGAAAGTGATGAAACACAGCACTTGTTCAGTAACTTGCTAATCAATAACTGAAAATAGGTATTATTAATCTTGAGGGCTTTTACACACACACACACACACACATATATACAATAAATGACAACTATAAAATTTTAAATACTTTCAAAATTAATATTAACTTTCCACTTCACAAATACATATACTCTGTACATATATTAAAAGTAATTATATTTCTTAAAGTACCTAACGTAAACAGACTTCACAAACATAACGAAAATATTCTATTTCCTTAATGTCAAGGTGTTTACGAGGCCGGTGACAAAAGCGCGGTGGCGGACGCAAGTATGATAAGACTGACGCCTGACGAGACAGGAAGCTTCAGGTGATACCAAGGTAGGTACCACGTGAGCCCCTCGCTCATCCCTGACGCATCATTACCCGGTATCACAATGCAGCCACACGATTTCACTATATGTATTTTATTGATTTAATGTTTTCGAATGAATGTGAATAAATAATTACTAAAAAAAAATCATTACAATTATGATTAAATAATGAAAAGACAATTGAAAGTTAAAGCGCAAATTTGGTTACTAATAACGTCCCCCGCCACATCCTGTGTACCTGGTACTGTAAGTATCGCGGGTGAGGCCTCGCCACGCACCAGTCCCGCTTGTTGCTGCTGGGTCGACCCTCCGCTCCAGTTGTTCCAAACCTCCAAATCCTGCACCGCGAGTTGGGCGAGTGTGTTACCGCACAGATGAGTTACTTTCACATTCATTCGTCTCTACCACAATGGTGAGCTGTTAGATCTAGCTAATTCTTATGAAGCTCGCGATCACGTTCATCACGTACTGTATAGCAGTATATCAAAACAGTAAGGGTGTCGAATGAAACAAGAATTGTTCGAAGATAGCATACCACGCCCGTTGTACCTAATATTACATTTCAAATATATAATTAAATTGAGTAAGGGGTTACCGAAATATGACTAGGTCAAACAAGGTAAACATTTATAAAGAACAACAATGACGTCAGGAGTATGACACAAGCTCGTGCAGATGAGCTGAAGTACTCCAAATACTATGAGATTTATGCAATTATTGCCCATATTAAAAAAAAGACCTAAACAGGGAGTATACAGTAGACACGGCTAACTGGTCATGGAAGTGAGAGTTGGTAACTAAAATTGCTTTTCTCTATAGCTCGGAAATGCACAACGAACATAAATGTGCCGACACTTTAATGATATATCAGGAAATAATATCCAAAGGTATAAAGAGCTGGTGGTAAAGCCCTTAACCAGGTTTTAAAAGTACTGTACATAATGTGCAGTATATCCTTCCAACATGTTCCAACCACGTATATACCAGCACCCGAATTCCCCTCTCACACGTCACATAGAAATATCCCCAATAACCATCTTCTCTACCAAAACACAATAAAAATCATCCCACTGACGACTCTTGTCAACCATCAAAACAAGCAAACACTGAAATATACGATGCACACGAACAATCGCTTCTCATCTACACATGTATACGTATAAACTCACAGGTCCCGGCCCCCACCTCCCGCCGCCCCCAACCGCGTCTCCCCTGGCGGCCAACGGTCTCGTGTCCCGCCTTACCTTGAGGTGATGTTTGAACTTGAAGGCTTTGCCACACTCGTCACACTTGAACCGCCTGAGCACGTCCGACTCCTGGTGGGAGATCATGTGTCGCTGAAGACGGTGGATGTTAGCGAACTTCTTGTGGCACACAGAACACGACTGAAGCAACGAAAAAGAGAAATGTTATTAAACCAGTCACCAACACATTCGAGGTGAAGGAGAATAGTTAACCAGGTTCTTCGTTAGAAAACGTCACGTGAGGCGAAGATTAACTTGTAGTGTCAGATTGACAAATCCTCAAAAGAAAAAAAAAATCAGAATAAAAAATAAATATAAATACTGTATAAACTTTTCCATGAAAAATCTGCAGGAAATTTGGTACCAAATATTTTTTCTAGGTAATTAAACATGCTATAAAGGCAACGCAAATTAATAAAACTAAATTATGTGAATTTAGAGAGCATTACGTCACCTCTGAACCAGCCATGCGACAATAATTCTCGGGACAGGCAATCCACAAAAGCTTAAAGCAGTAATACAGTATTATGAACAAATCTACCTTTATAAAAGACAGTATAAATGTGTTCATCAGATATAAAGGTGACAAAATTAGTTGTTTATTTAGGCAGTGAAAAAAATAAAATAAAAACTTGCATTTTAATTAAATATAGAACTATGTATCTTCAGAACTAAAAAAAATAAAATAATGTCGATTTATACAACACACTCCTTAATAAAAAGTACAGCCCAGTGTTAACAGAGCACAGCCGCATGTTCAAAATGAATGTACAGTATCAGAATCACAGAATATAGTAGAGGAAGAGGAACCTGCAGCAGATAATAAAGCCTCATCCCATCCCCTAAAACACTTATAAAACGAATATTTCCTTTTACTAAGAAGTATTTTGTACGGTATATTTCTTTTTACGGAGTTTTGTTAATCCGATGCCTACCTTACCTGAACTGATTAATAATATGTTTTCGCATATGACTTCTTTTCAAATAGACAACGACAACTCATGGCGTGTCCTAACTTCAAAACGTTATCCCAGCGAGTTTCCTCAAATGAGTAATCACTGACACAAATGGAAACGAATTGATAATACAAAAGGACATATTAATGCCACAGAAACCTAATCAAAGTAATTAAACATCCACAGTTAATGACAAAACACTGAACAATTAACAAAATAAAAACGACCTGGAAGAGAAGTGAAGCAAGGGATGATTAAATCATTAATCATATCAGAAAATACATCAACATGGGAAATTTAGTTAAACTCAGAAAATGTTAAAATAACAGGGCTTTATCCTTCAACAGTATCCGGTGGATGTCGGTGAATTTAGTGAGGTTGGCCAACATGATTATTCACCAATGATAAGACAGACAAATGTTCATTATTTTTTAAGCACGCACTTTAAAAATACAGTAAAAACCAGCCCTGAGACTTTCTCACGTAAATTCGAATAAAAAAATACTGTGGCGACACCCGACTACGTGAAATTATAGTAACATTACTCTTGGTGATTCATAACCAGTATATTACTCAATTACTTCCTTCAACAAATCAACGCAACTACCCTCAAACGAGATTTGAACACTTTACTATAGTAATACAATAAAAAAAAGTATAAATAATTCAGTCACTAAACAACGTACAGCTGGCCCACTAAAGGAATTCAGAAGCCCCAGATAACTTAACTCCGCATCACAAGAGACTAATGCAATCAAAATAGAATTATTGTGTCAAAGTGACTGGGAACGAACCCGTCCCCATGTCTTATCAATCAATATCCTGTGACCAATACTCGTGTTGAAAGTAAAGTACTTCTGTTTTATGTATGAATATGTAACGTGTGTGCGTACGTGTACCTGTATGTAAAACTTAACAACTATAGGTTTGAATTCTTGCACAAGTCACATTTACGCGGGTTCGTGGAGGTAAAATGATAAATTATTTTGCTCATGTAATAATCTCCATTAAGATAATGGTAACAATTACTATAAAATGAATATGTAAAATTAAAAAAATGATAAAATTATTGCTTAGTATACACAGGAATAACAAACAGAAAGTACAATCAATTACTGTTCCCGCCAAACTTGCTGACTAAACTAGGACCCGCAAAAGAACGATGCTTCGGGCATATTCAAAATATTGACAATATGTTATACAATTAACGATGTGCATACAGTATTAAAGGTTACTTATTTGATCGGATAACATTATTCTTTACATTAAATAATAGGGTAGTATACACATGATTCGAGATTTCAACTTAATGTCCCACACATCACTTATCTTGGTTTGAAACGCCCACACGTCTGCTCCAAAAGCCTGATGTCCCAAGCGTCTGCCTTGAGGATCCCTCCATTTACAACCATTCTTAGTGTGCTAAGTTATTCCCTACCAATTCTTGTGACTTGTTTATCAACATCGGTGACTGACAAAAAACACAGGTATTAAGCGAACCGCCAGAAATCACCCGCTAACTTTTTTTTTACAAGGCGAAAGATTTGTTGTACCCGCGGGAATGTTACACAATTCAAGATGGGTTTTTAGTAAAGTTTAAACCGAAATAGAAATTATAGATTAGAACACAGGAAGAAGTGGATGGCCATTTCGTCAGTCTTATCTAGCTTGCCACTGGAAACTATCTAGATAATCTAGTCTTCTGTAAAAACTGCAACAATAACATATAGAAGAAATAGTCGGCAGTAACAAATTCATTATTGTCGAGGCGTAGCGTATAAACTTGTGTAAGAAGAGGATTTTTTTTCTGATAACCAAATTCATGAGCATATATTTCTGAGGTCCACTTACCACCCAATAGAACACCTGGGACTTCCTCAAGTCAAAATATCTTGGGTGACTAAACTATAAAAAAGGACGTAATTACATTTGTTTCGTTACTATATTGACAATAGTGCAAAAGGAACGTTAAGCAAACTCAGTGACTGTCAAATCTGGGGAGGTGAACAGTGAAAATGAAGGAAAACTATACGGAAGCCAACGTGAAAACTCACCACGCTGGCGCCATTCAAGAAATCGCCCTCGTCTCCTATGGTAGCATCAGATGTAGGGGTGAGGGCGTCAGAGGGAGGGCTGGTGGGAGCGTTGGTGGGCGTGGCGGCCTCGTCCGTGGGCGTCTGCGGGCTCACACCCTTGTCATTCCCACTCTTGTCACCTGCTGCAAAGAAAAAAAAACACTCAATACAAAAGCAAGCAAAAATAATGGAATAATCTAACCAGTTTCCTGTACAAACCGATAAGAAAGAAATTTGATTAGAAATAAGGGAAAAAGGAATCGACAAAATAAACAAATTGATATTTAAATTAAGACAGGATAATCTAGTCACAAGACGTAAGTACAGTACTGCACTTATAAGCCGATATTTTCTATCTTTCCACTTATCAACTGGAGTGAAAAAGACAACACATAGTAAGAAAGGAAACTAAATGGGGAAAAAGAAACTAATCCGACATTCTTGCCTCAAATAAAAAACAAAAACGATGAGCAACGAACGATATATAGTAATAGGTTTATGCAAGAAATTAAATTAATTGGATTAAAACTTTTAACATCTGAGGTGAACAATTTACCGATAATTCTATGAGTTAAGGGGAAGAAACCTGCATGAGACCCCCATGTCCTTTACAGGCATACGCATTATACGTATATAAATGAAACATGGTGCACATCTGGAAGACAGGACTCGGGGCAAATTTTAATTACAATAAAAGACTACAGTATTAATTTTAACTTCGCGCTTAGATAATGAAATTCCTTTGTTAACTACTGTATACGCTGTGACGCAATCAAAAGGAATGTGTCCAGTACCACATGAACTGTTGCTGGTTTCTCTGGCACAGTTGAGAGATCTCCGCCAACGGCATTACGAAGACCGTCAAGGGTGATGCGAGGCGTCTCCGTCTCCTCACGTTTCCCTCCCTCCCTTGATACACTCGGAATCTCCTTAATCCAAGGACATAAATATAAATCTCCCTTGCAGTGATGGATCTTCCTGGGTGAAAATCTTACACGCAAAGGACCTTGAATCGATCCAGAGAATATACACAGCATGCGAGTGCAGGAGGGAAAGTTGACAGTGAGGGCCCGTGAAGACAGCAGCAGGGGCGACGCAATCATCCAGGGGTTGAGATACGGCAGCACGCATGATTCATCCTCCACAGTTGGTTGTATTTACGCGCGAATTAACGCTGAGTAAGGTGGCGGCGCGCGGCCCGGGAGACGGTTGGGCATGTTGAGCTGCTCCCCCGTCACGTCTGGAGTTACATGATGAGCTGAGGGTCCCAGGTGAGGCACGAACCCACCCACACACTCCCTGGCTCCGACGTGCCCACCCGCTCTTACCTGAGCATTACGCCACCCACGACTCTTTATTTCAACATGACGTCTCTAGTTTCTTTTTCTTTCCTTTCTTTTTTTTAAGAAAGGAAACCCAGTTATAGCTCATGGCGGGCTGACTACACTACCTTAATTCTTTATTCATAACTATGCGTGACTTGCGTTTTGTCATCGCCCGAGGGCCGCTAATCTTTTCCGGGACGTCAAGCGTCAAGACACTGCAGCTTTATCCCAGCCCCTCTGTCACGCTCTCCTCTGTGTCTTCTTGTCCCTCTCTTCCACCTTTCCTTTGCTCCTTCTTTCGCACATATATGTACCTCGTTTTGTTTACGCCTGTTTCTCCTAAATTTTGTTGGGGAATCTTTTTATCGGCACGCCTAGTGTTGAAATGTTACTCATGCATCTTACACTTTTCTCTTACACTTCGACTTTTTCCTTTTCCTAAACCCAATTACTTTTCTCGTTCACTTAGTGTATCTAATTTATTCGTTTTCCCTCGATCCCTATACCGAAAGAATACGTCATAAGGATGGCCCTTAACCGTCTACGATCACCTTGGATGCACCAGGTCTTGTCCCTCGATTATGTTGTTGTCCCAACCTGGGCATCGTGCAAGGTTCCTCGGTCCCCCCGCAATGACTCACATTCCCCGGCTGGCCCAGAAAAAGAAAGATTCGACGTAATTTACATTTTACGACGGCATCATGCGCCAAAGGTTGCTGCTGAAACTCAGCTGATAGTTGATGTAATCGTAAATCTATATTCCGACCTCCCTTGGTTACAGTGACCTACCCCGACGGTGACCAAAGTATCTCATTCTCACCCCCCCCCCTTCTCTCCCTCTCACTCGACTAACCAAGGGTGATAGTGACCCTGACCTGCCGATCGATAAGACGAAGAAAGGACCAATCGAAAGGGGTCGTGGCGGGAGGTGGTTCTGAGAGCTCCTGGGGGGAGGGGGGAAGGGATAATAGGCAAAACGGCTGACGAAGAGGAAAGGGTCGCGTGTGATGGTAGGGGAAGAGGGGGCCGTGAATGAGGGAGGGGGCGGTGACGGTATATCAAGCATTTCCAATAATATAACTAAGCTGTTGAAATTAACATAATTCCAGAAGAAAGGGGGAAACTGAAAAGGCAACTGCTAAGCAAAATTAACCATCTAGAGATGACAAATATAACCCCAGGATCAGTGAAGGGGAAATGAGCCACTCTAAAGGGGTGGTGTGGGAAGGTAGGAGCAAATCTCAAAATGGCGATTTTCCCCTAATTCCGGAGTGATTCTCCTTGATATAAAATAACTATCATATTCTTAATGATTTCTAGTGAGGTCTTATCTAACATTTGGGAGAAAGATATGCTTCATTTAAAGATTATTCATCGTTCAATAATAACGCGGATATTAATCGCCGTAATTAATATTTGTCAAGAGCAGAGCGAGGGTTGGCGTGGATTGGAGACCTTGGTAACACTGAGGGAGGATCGTCCGAGGGGAGCGGGGGCGATAATGGCACACGTGCAGCTGCCCACGGACGCCGAGGGGAACTCTGAATTTCAAATGCCCAGCGCAAACCTCGGGACAAAGGACAAGTTGATGATGCTGGGACGGAGGAGGCCCCAGCCACGAGAGATGCTGCATATTAAGAGCATGAGTCAAGGCCTCACGCTAGGTGATTTGTGCTCCACAGTACTCAACTACCGGGTAGATGAGGTTGCTCTTCTCAGTGGCACAAATGCTGACACTGAATCATGATTGATCTTGAGCCAGCACCGCCAGTCGCCCCTCGCCCGCTAGCACACTTCCTCTTCACAATCACCTCCATCACTTGCCAACAAAGATGAGCCCAAATGTTATTGGCCTTGCGTTACCAACTGTTTATATTCCTATGAATCTTATTACCTGAAATGAAAATGCTTCTACCAGATACTTGCACAGTAACCTGGTCGGGAGCGTTAACTAGGCCATCTAAACATTGCGATGTTCCTATTTTCGTCAAAGTTAACATCACAATCGACATACTGACATATATCCACAAGTATGGTAATTATAATCCTCTATTCTTAGCAACCAACAAGGACTTTCCTCCAACCTCCTATCTCATTGTTCATTACTTGAGGGTTAAACCAGCTTTACGTGGTTGTAGGCCCCTCTTCCCCTTCCTCACCCTAGTCGATCATGTGGATCCTCAAAGTCCCGACCCTCTTCTCCTTCCCAGCCATAACGATTGTTGAGGTTATCTCACCTCTCCAGAGCTCCCCCCCCCGACCCTCTCTCCACCCCCACCCTTCACAGCTCGTGGGGTTATCTCATCTATGGTGGAAGTGAGGTGTGATAGTGGCTTTAGATAATGGTGTTGGTGGGGAAGAGAGTGCTGAGCAGGGCTAGGCTGTCCGGACACGCTCAAGGTAAACAATGCGACGCCATAATTCATCATCACCAGTTTTACCACCACCACCAAGACTATACCTGGAATCTCACGACAATGTCCTCACATTCTCCTCCACTATAGTTTCTTATTAATTTTGGTCACACGAAAGCACCAAATTATGGTCTGTAACAAAAAAATATATATTTCTTTAACAACTTCTACGAATCATGTCATTCCTCTAAATGGCAACAATGTACAGAAGAATTTTAATATTTTTTACTAAATATTTTAAACAAAAATGAATTAGGAGGCACTGATTATTTCTTTAATGTTCCACTGATCTATACGTAAACTGAACCTAGTCATTATACTCAGAGGTATTGTATATCCACATTAATGTATGAAAATAATGATGTTACTATAGATTCACTCTAGTACTAACCACAATTCGTCGTCACACATTAGTGGCGTTTAAAAACACACCAACAGGACTAGAATTATTCAAACTGATATCTAAGCGCTTAACTAACTTTCCAAATATAATTTCATTTAACTTACTGTCACAATCAAACAGTGTTATTCCCTTCACGACAGTCCCCTTAGTGGGAATGGCGTGGGGAGCAGCGCTGACAGGCTTGGCCAGAATCAATGCTACATTAACATAATAAGCACGGTATCACCCGCTCACAGCCTTACCCTTCCCTACTCCATCCTACTCATTTCAAACTTCATATTCAAATACAATTAATACTTGATGAACATTGTATGCACAAATTCAAGTATTCCCAAATACTGTATGTAAAACAATATCTACTACACAAAAACTATTATATATATATATATATATATATATATATATATATATATATATATATATATATATATATATATATATATATATATATATAGTCGACGTTTGTAACAAGGTTAAATGATGGCATTCCGGAAATGCGTGGTTAATCCAAGATAAATGGAGACAGGAGCGGGTTATTGTGGGATAGTTCAGGTAACTTGGGCAAGACTTAGCTGTGACCAATGCCTGTGAATATTCAGACGACTTAGACCAAATACCTGTTGATTTATCTTATAAAATCACATTAAAAAAGTAACCATAATCTTTGTAAAATAAACTATGTAACAACAAACACCTCTATTTACAATATACGACTCTAACTTTCAGACGTTCACTTACTGCTCTTTTTAACTTCACGTTAACTCGTAACATTCAACTCAACGAAGGTTTTGATTCTTAGCTAAGCCCTGGTATTTATATAACCAAAATGAAAATACAATAAATGTCATGTCTTGGCAAGCATCGTATTATCTTTATGTCTTAAGAGGTTACCAAGCCTTGAACTTTACCTTATCACAAGACGCCGTAAATTAGTGTTTCCGTTGGCATAAACACCACCCTCTACTCTGTATCTAAACTTAAAACCAACCCTTGTCATGTTTGTACAAGTCACGTACCTTCAAGGACCACCTTACAACTCTTGACGAAGCCCAGACTGTGACAACCGTACTCATGAACAAGATGGACAGTTCACAGGTGGGACCCAACTCACTCCCAAGATAATAGTGTGGTGATCTACAGCAGAGGGAGGATGGCGGCCGGTGAGGGGCTTGCCTGGAGGGAGTCAATACTCAGTGTGTGTGGGAGTGAGAGACAAGAATGAGAGAGGTATGGAGGGAGGCGGGGGAACACAGGTTAGCTATTATAGTTTGTCACGGCGGCAAACACGGGCGGGTTTCTCCCGCAGATTTTCTTATCAAGTAAAGACAATGATAATGTAACCACGAAAGTGTTCCGTCATCGAAGATAATGTTGCTCGTTCCCCAACAAAACCATTCGTTCAAAAGAGGCTAACTAAAGTCCTGGATCAGTTATAAGAGCATTACACAAGCAATAAGAACATGTATTTGCAGTAGCCACGTACTGTATTATGTACATTCGAAGTTCAATTTTAACACTTTTCAAAAGATTGTTAAAGTCCATAGCGTAGGGATTCAAACTTTTTGAAAATAACTCGTATGAAGGGATGAGTCATGAATGCTGCCCATGCTTCGTAAGTTTACTGTACGTACACTGTTACGAGTTGTACCAGTTTACCTTTCAATATTTCTGATCAAAGCAAGTCTTGATCGTGGTTAAACTATAAATAACACCCTGGCTAAGATAATCAAAATAAAACATTAAAATATGACTTACAGAAGTAGTTGAAGACGCCAGCGATGTTCCACAGTCTGATGGAATCGGTGTAGGATGATGGTGCGTACATGGTGCTGACGCCGGCCATGGTGCTCACAACCCACCACTTGTTAGCTGATGTTCACTAGCGTTACCAAGCGGTCCACATGTCCGACGACACTAGGGCGCGCACTCTCCCGCCACCACAACTTTAATGATCCAACCAGACGAGACCTTCACCAGGCGTGTCAGTTAAGGTTACACCGGAAGAGCCGTCGTCGCATGTGACCTGAGCTACCTCCGGGCGCCTAGGGTCAACTCAGGCTGCTTCTAGTTGGCCCCAAAGGCAAAACAGGTCAGCTTTGTAGGGATAGTGGTGAGTAAAGGTTGAAGTGGAACCGGCACAGGAATATGATACGCGGTCACTTCGGGTCAACCACGGTGGCTTGGGTGATAATTTGGCAGTGTGGTAGAAGGCTGGACAGGTCACTAAGAGGGCCGTGGGTGTAAACTAGCAGGATCCAATTGTACACAATGATGGCACTTAAAATTCGTTTGGGATCCAAAATCGGATTCTGCAGTCTTGAATATATGCAACCGTTGTTCTGGAAAGGTTCGTTGTCTTGGTGTAATATCAACACTGAAAAATTTCCGTTACACTTGATCACAGTCACAGAAGCGTCTCCGCTTAATTCCAATCCCCTGGACCATTGGAGTTGTATCGCTGTAGTGTGTCTTAAAAGGTTCACTGCAGTACAAAAGACTCCACACGAAATCTACACTTAACTGTAGCATACGTAATGTTAGTGACTAAGTAGGTAGCACCTTGAGGTTTCAAATGAGGAGCGCGAAAAAGTGCGTGCTATCAAACTCGCGGCTCCTACATGACTGAGGGAGTGAGGGGAGTCAGAGAGAGCCTCAGGTAGGGGACGCTAGACTCAGCTTCCCATTGGTTACACCGCGTCTCATGCCACGCCTACTACGCTGTCATGCTACGCACCTTCGGATAATTAACTCTTACCTAAATCTATGACATTCTCGTTTGCTATTTCATCAATTTAAGATATTGTTAGTTCGTGATACTTATTTCCAAGACAAATGAATATGTGAGAGCATTAAAATAAAGTTAATGGCACTATAGCTGTGGTGTGTGTGAATAGGTGAATCACGCGCTCGCAGACACATCACCTACCATGGTTGAGGATGCTCAGTGTTACGTGAGATGTCGCACTGTTCAGATGCTCTCCCGCCGCGGAAGCTGGCCGGAGTAGCCTGCCCTTCCGAGAGTTCAATGTTATCAGTACCATATAGTTTGCAATATAATTTCTTAATGAAACATATAACACATTATTTAAATATTAAATCTAGGTTAATGACAACGGTTCTTGAGCAGGTGCGTGGAGTGAAAGCTGCCCTACATGAAAATGAAATAGAATCTTAAGAATTTACGTTTTTCATGGGAAGATATTCTTGATTATTTAAGTTTGAAATTTGGATATCGAATTTCACCCCAAAATATGCAGCATCTCAATTGAAACAATAAAAGTTTTTTCTGTAACGAGTATTAGTTAACACTGATTACCGACATAATTTTACAACCAACAGCACCCATCCCTTCATCAATAAATATACATAAATAGTTAAGTCCTACATAAGCAGATCAGTTTGTTTAGAAGAATTTCAAGCTGATTGTGTAAAAATAAAAAAAAACCGCAACACCTCGTAACAATCTTTTCCTCCAGATTTTACCCCGTCACTATAGCACTCACGCTTGTTGAGGTGACAACAAATATAAGTAAGCTCATATAACCAACAAATAGCCAATATACACAAATCAGACACTTGTTTGAAGCAGTATCAGGTTTACTCTTAAAATTTGACAATAACGACAACAAGAGCTCTAAGAGGGAGTCACTCACGCTGGCAACTGCACGATAAGCTACTCTACTCTTCCAGAAATTAACCAGACCAAATACGTACATAAGTTGCATGCACCAAATTCATCTTTTATATAATTACAAAAATAATGCCTAAACTACAGACGTATATCATCAAGTAATGATATAAAAAAGCGTAAGTTTAGCATCGTACATCAAACAGAGGGGGGTGAAGGAAGGCGGCGCTAACCCTGGGAGGAGGAGTCCGGGGGTGCGCGCGCCTCTCCCAGAACCTGTTGGTGTGGCGGCAGCGCGAGGTTTCAAAGCACTTGCTGCCGTTACCTTCATTATGTGGGAGACGCTGCACTGCTGACTCTTACTGGCTCCCCCTTACCACAATTTTATCTACCTTTTCCCCTCCAACTGTTCTCGTCTTTGGTGTCTGTTGGACAGTCTTGTATGACGCTGCATAGTTTGTGTGTGCAGACGTATTTGATGTAAACACACACATTATATATATATATATATATATATATATATATATATATATATATATATATATATATATATATATATATATATCATGTAGATCCACAATGAAAACGTGGATAAGATAAATCTTGATAAAATCACACGGGAAAAGGGAAACAACGGAGCACCTTAGTAATACATTATGGTAACTACTAATGTTTCACAACAATACGGATATTATACAGTGGTACGACACTTATAAGTTATGACTTTCAAATGTAAGCAAAAAAAATGGATCAAACGTTTACAACAATGTAGTCCACTGACTAGTTCATAGTAGTGGACAATGGGGGTTATACTGTGTGTATGTATTCTGTACTGTGTATGTATTGTGTAAGTGTATTGCGTGTATTATGTGATGTGTATATGTTTGTATGTGATGTGTATATGTTTGTATGTGTTGTGTATATGTGTGATGTGTGTATATGTGTGATGTGTGTGTATGTGTGATGTGTGTGTATGTGTGATGTGTGTATTTTGTATATGTGTGATGTGTGTATATGTGTGATGTGTGTATGTGTGATGTGTGTATATGTGCGTGTATTATGTGATGTGTATATGTTTGTATGTGATGTGTATATGTTTGTATGTGTTGTGTATATGTGTGATGTGTGTATATGTGTGATGTGTGTGTATGTGTGATGTGTGTGTATGTGTGATGTGTGTATTTTGTATATGTGTGATGTGTATATGTGTGTATTGTGTATATGTGCGATGTGTATATGTGTGTATTGTGTATATGTGTGATGTGTGTATTTTGTATATGTGTGATGTGTATATGTGTGTATTGTGTATATGTGTGATGTGTATATGTGTGTATTGTGTATATGTGTTGTGTGTGTATTGTGTATGTGTGTGAAGTGTAGGTACATGTATGTATCGTGCATGTATACTTGTGTGTGTGTGTGTGTGTGAACAAGTATCATGTACATTACTGTATGTATGTGAGTAATCCGAGAGAACTAAAGCAATTTTGTTTCAAAGTTATCAAATAATCTCATTACTAAAATATATATAAAATGAGGCGACTATAGAAGCATTATGAGTTCAAACAAACAAATATCACAACCCCTAAAGAAAATAAATTATGAATCCAAATATTTATATGAAATTCAACTTCGTTTCATCACAAATGTATGGAAACTGGTACAGTATATGTATAAACAATAAAGTATACACACGGTGAAAAAAAGTCCATTTAACACATGATGATAACCCAATGTGATCTTGTGTCAACTAAATAATGCCTTACGTTACTGAAGCATCTAAGTCATGAAAATTTACCCTTGCATTGATATACCACTTAAAGATGTTATTCTATGTAATTGTTGAATTATGGTGCAATGGTATATTTAACGGATGTTTAAACGTTCTGGGTCTGTATGTTGTAGTCTAGCTAAGTTTAAGGAACGTTCTAACTAAGCGGGGCGGAACGTTTTATGGTTGGGAAGTGGGTGTAGAGGGTGAGGCTGAGGCAACTACAGTTGGGGTACGGGAGGGATTGTGGTAGTAGAGGGAGGGGATTGTGGTAGTAGAGGGAGGGGATTGTGGTAGGGTGATATATTTCGTTTCTACTAAGGTGGAGGTATTAGTGGTGGTCTCAGCTTATGGGTGAAGTTGTACTTGAGTTACGATGGTACACTAGTGGTCCGAGTGTCAGAGTAGGGACCGAAGTCGAATTTCAAGTTATTAGGGTCGTGGTACTAAGGTAGTGGGGGATTACTAGTGGTGATGGAGGTGGTAAATCACATGTGGTAGTGCCTTTGTACTAATGTAAGGAGTAGCTTTTTTCTTGTCTGTCTTCATATTATATTTGAGAATACGTTGTTCTATTTGTGGAAAAGACCACACGCACACGCACACACGCACACACACACACCTTATATAAAGTAAAAAAAATAAATCCTAGAAAACTTGGGACAAATTAAAGTGTGCAACTAAAACATTTTGGTTATCTTATTTCTTTTATAAAATAACATTTAATTTACTGTAATATATTTCAGTGAGGTAGGCAAAAGTACAAAACAGTTGAAGTTTTACCAACCAGTGATGTTGATGGACTTGGTCAATCAAGAGCCTTAACAGTTCAAAGGACAAGCAAGAGTCAAGATTTTCTGTAATTCGTTTACGTTGAATTTTTGTCGTAACGGGAGACGTAACAACACACCTAAATGATTAACATTTGCTAACTCATAAAATTATGTATAATATGGTATCCAAATTTGTAATATGGCATCGAAACCACACTTAAATTCTACCTAAACTTGTCAACAGTCACGAGGATAAAAAAGAACCGTATGTACTGAAATGCTTATTTAACTTTACAATAGTTCTATTTACTAACAATATTGATTATTATTTTTATTATTATCATTGTTGAATATCATCATCATCATCGGTAGCAGTGGTACCAGCAGTATCACCGAGAAGCCTAATGTTTTGTTATTGTTCAGTGTGTTGGTGACGGTGGCGGCGCCGGGCTGTGGAGGGTGAGGTTTTCACTTGTGATGGATATAAAGAGAGTGGCAGGGGTGGTGTGGCCATTAGTATGATTCGATTTTACAGCCCAGTTGCTGTCATTACTCTCTTCAGTGACACTTCTCTTTGTTTGCAAGTTTATACTACTCGGTGTAACTCTCTTTGTGTTTGTTGTTGCTTCCTAGAAATAATATTAAAAATGTTAAGTTTGTTGGCGCTTGTTAGAATGCATTAATTCTCTGTGTTTGCAGGTTAACTCTAGTGCGAATAATTTTCTTTCTGTTTAAAGGTTTATGCTCGTAATAACAATTGAGTTTGCGAGAAACAACTGGTACATGGATGTGTTTACCGAGTGCGTGTCTATTAAATCTGATGGTTTACAAAAATAAAACGTGAGAACGATACGAAGAGGAGCTGGTTTACGTAATGTAGAGATAACTCTTCGCGTTGTGTACATATCTTGAGTGAACCATACACAGTTATCGCTATTACCGCTTTAAAGTTCTTTTGTCTGACCATGTCTTATGTGTCTGGATGTGAATAATGTTTACCTCCATTACATTACCATATTATTATAATATTCTGACTCGGGATTGTCTTAACAAAAATTAACTAGTCCGGCCACCAGTTAGCGGTATACTCGTGATTTAAAGGTCCTTCCGCTGTCAACATGGTCAAGCTTCGTTGATATACCCAAAAAATTTCACCAGTATTTTACGTATTTTTAGTCCAAAAAATATTCCCATTAAATTCTTGTGTCCGTAAATGTAAGGGTAGAGATGACCACAAATTTCCCAAGAAGGCCGATGAAAGAAAACTGGATAATTACCATTTATTAAGATAAATGGAAGCTCACCAATAACACGAAGCGAAATTGAAATTTGCCACGTACAGCGGCTAGTTTAATGTGCACCCCATACTCATCCTGTGAGAGGCTACAGTACAAAATAAAGGTCACAGGATGATTGCGTTTGGGGTGTGTGGTTTCACCTTAGTTATTTAATGTCGGA